AGCTTAACAGTTACTGTGTTGCAGTGTGTAATTTCAGTTAAGAATTACTCATTTCTCTTCTGCAATTTTGCTTCCATCAGTACTCTTAAAGAATAATTCAGCAGTGTGCTAAATAGCCAGAAAAACTGTCTTCCTTGTGGGCAAGGGCTACATTTTTAGAGGAACATAAACTTGATTTTCAGATACTGGATACCTGCAGCTCTTACTGGCTTCAAATAATATTTTGATCACTACCATCTTAGAAAAGTCAGTCTATAAATTACTGATGATCAGCTGTCAATGACAGAAGGAAATAATTGTTAGCCCACTTCCAGATATTTTCAGCACTCTACTGTCTTCTAAGTATGATGCTGTTTACTGTACACCTTCCACTATGGCCATCGCCAAGCATTATCAGAAGTGAGTCAGGGATTACACGCTTGCTAGCACAGATCCACCCCTCACCATTCCAAAGGAAACAGCTCCATAATGAGAGATTAGTGAGGATGCAAGAATAAAGGGTTTTTTTTTATATATATATAGATGTATCTGTTTTCAGAAAGGAATTCAGTTTATTAGTAAAACTGTTTTGTTCTGGTTTAGCAGCAGATAGATAAAATTAGTTGAGGGTTACTTACTTTCAAGTTGATCCAGTTTTCTACTCTTCTCCTGGCAGGAAAGGAAAGTACCTTCAGGTTTTCAAGGCACAGATCGTGTATTTCTTGTGGTATGAAGTAATTTCTTTTAACATTCAGCTGTGCAATTCACCAATTCCCAGAACTGCATGTTATAGTTTGCATTCTGAACAAAGCTAGGTACCTTCCCTTCCAGGGCTCTTTTGTCTTCTAAATGCATCCTCCTTGGGTGTATTTCATGTTATTGTGTTCTCACTGCTTCTGTATAAATGAACATATTAATCCTTAATTTTCTAGGTTTCTTGCTCCATTTGCCAAGGAAGCGTTTTTCTTCTCCAGAAGCTGCAGATGCAGGTTACAACTGTGCCAGCTTCCTCCTGTTTGGAGCCGTCTGGCAAAAGGAATTAGTTCAGGAAAGTTCATGAAAATGTATGTTTTGTTTTCACTTCTACTGTACTTCACAGCTGTCTCACTGTGTTCTCATCACTTTTCTTTCAAGTATACTTATGAACACCCATCACAGCAGCTAAGGTCTGAAGGGTTGGAAAGCTGACCTTCCAAGACAAGGGGTAGAAATATGGGAGGTAACCTTTCTCTCATTAAATGACAGTTTCTCCACAACACTTTTACCCTTTGGGGTATCCCTGAGAAAATGCAAAACCTCAATTTTGGCTTGTTGCAGTACTCACAGTGGTGAAGAAAAAGCTGTCAGGATTCACTTGTCAGCAGCTTAGGCAGTTATAGAACTTGAGGTCCATTTAAAAATACATCAGGTATTTTTAAGTGATATACCTAAATGCAAAGGCATTAAAATCTGGCATAGAAGCCTACATGGGCAGGATATGGTCCAGCCTGAAAAGGCAGGTTTTGGCTGGGATAAGATGAAACAGACAACAAGAAAGAAGTGCAATACTGCTGGTGATTCCATATTTAAAAATATGGCATGTCACTGTAGAGAAAACTAGCAGCATCCAATTAGACCTGTTGCATTTTTCTAAGTTGTCTGGCTCATTCTGCATCCAGGCAAAACTCAGATCACAGAAACAGTATATTCCCTTTTATATATCCCTTTGGGAGAAAAGGAAAAATAAAAAAGAAATAGTAACACACACAAAAAAAAAAAACACCACAAAAAAAAAAAAAACAACAAAACACAAAAAAAACCACACCACAAAAACTGAGTATCTCCCCCTGCAAAAAAAAAAAAAAGAAACATACAACCCACAACTGTTTCTATAGAGGTAACATCCACAGAGAAAAAGAAGGCCTAAAATGAAGCGGCAAAGAATTCATGGAATCACGCTTCTAAATCTTCAGCTTCTTAATCTTGAAAATACAAGGGAAGAGAACTGAAATGCATGCGAGTTAGCACACAGCTGCATAAGGCTATCACTGAGATCCCAACTAGAACTGTGAGAATTTCCAAAGACGTTGATCTTACCACACCTCCTTTCTCCCTGCCCATAAGAAAAGGACATCATGAAAATACGTCCTCAGAGAACAAAAAGTTTCCTTCTCCCTTTGAGTACTGCATCATTGCAAAGAGCCCAGCACCCCACAACAGGACAGGAGGTGAAGGGACCTACACTAACCACCACAAAGTTTTTACAATCAGTTTGAAATTGCAGTGCAGCTACAAGCAGTGGGATCTGACTCATGTTCAGTGAGCACCAGCTCTATGTCTTGTTTAACAATGGAACTGGTCCACTGTGAAAACTCTTAGATGTCCCAGTATATATGATGCTAAAAGCGTACATACACTGGTTATTCAGACATAATCTGGGGTTTCCTTCACATGTCCTATAATAAAGCCACTGATACTAACCTATCTTCAGCCATAAAGGGCACTGCAAACCATCAGCAACTGGTAGGCTTTCTATTAAAACTGCAGCAGTATTTGATGTCTTTACAACAGTAAAGATTTTTATTTTTCTTTTCCTTTAAAACAGAAAAGTCTGAGAAAGCCTTTATTTGTCACAGGATGGTCCAAAGGCTGTTAATCTCCTGTCTACCTTAAGAAAGAAAAGAGAAAAAAAAAATCTAATTTTAACAAATGCTACCAGGGATAAAAACTTCAGACTGATGATATGTTAAAGTACTCGGGAGGCTGAAGTATCCAGCCATGGTCTTCAGTAAAAAAGAAAATTATAGGGTCTATCAATTAGAGAAGTGGTGTTCTGAACCTATGTGCTGGCATGCTTACAGTTTTTTTAATGTCTGGCAGGATGTTTTACAAACTAAACTCAGCAAGATGACAATTCTACCAGAAGGTGCTTCAGATGGTTTTGCTAATAATTTTGATCAGCTGAAATGGAGAAAAACATCATTTATTTGGCTTTTCCAGAACCTGTCAAATCTGTGAACTATTAACTGCCCCCTTCTGCACCCCCCATCTCTCCCACCTTCTTTCAGCAAATACACTTCACTTTTTGCTTTTGTAGTGTTGTTTTTTTTTCCCCTGAAGTATTCTGTATAATCTGCCTTTGTTCCCCAAACAAACTTTGGTCATTCTTTGTGTATTTCCTTTGCCAGAAGGAAGTGCCATTTCTCGAGAATATTCATTGGAGGCTGGTACTGCTACTGCTGCAAACATCTAAGTGCTAACCAGCATATATTGGCTTTTGTTTTAATAGCCTTTTAACCAACTTTGTTAATGGACTGAATGCAGTTTAGATATGGAACTTGGCTAAAATGTAGCTTCAATTGGCTATTAAAATTTAAGAGCCAACTAAGATAGCTAATTACAAAAAAGCTCCAGTGATAATGCTAAGCAGAATTAGTAATAGCAAATGACAGTCTGTCTAGTCTTATTCCCAAAGGGAAAGAAACTCTTAACTGAGAAGTCAACCAGACAACGTACAGAAAACCTAATTGCATTACTGGTATTATGGCATCCCAAATCTGGCAGCTCACTGGGACAAAACAGTGAGAAAAGTCTGTCAAACTATTCAAGAAAGCAGCTGACCCCCTTCCTAATGCTAGCTGCAACAGATAGCAGGAATTATATTATTTTACATTAAGTGACTGGGAAATATTATTGCTAAAAATATCAAATCGGCACCATTTAAAAAACATCTTATACCCATCCTGAATTTGGTTCTCTCTCTAGATATTTTAGATTAGGGGAAAAAATTATAAACAATCTGTCTGCAAAATGTTCAAGTACTAAAGAAGCATTCTGTGCTTCATTATCAATATCCTCATTACACCATCAGCTGAAGTGCCGACTAGTTCTCCTGTGAAGATTTATCATGTATGGTGGCCACTTTGAAACATAGGTAGCAGAATCTTTAACATTCCCTACTCAAGTGTTTCCCTGCTGTGCCTGTAAATGTCAGTCCAGTTTTTTCACGGCTGTGCGCACAGATTAGAAACAGCAGGAGAGCTTGGGAGTATGACTACAATACCAGTAAGGACACTTGTCTTCATGGCACTGCTCAAGTGATTCTTGGAATGCAGGATCCTGCTGTTTTCTAATATTTACACACAACTGGAGTCATCAAGAGCAGTAAATGCAGTCTAAAGGCAGCTTGCTTCTTTTGTGTTAGGGGCTTTACTTTCAAGCAGGGATGTCAGCAAAATTCTACTACACCCTCTGCCTCTTAGAAAGTGGTGAATTTCCCCATCACTGTTTTGCAAAATAGCAAACACATATATGTGTGCAAGCACAGACTGTGTAACACATACAGCAGTACTGCAGGTATTATCACAGCCATCCACTGTCATCACATCCTGATTGTCCCAAACTTCAAACATCAGTGCAGTCCGCAGCAAGCCAAAGGCATTTTTGCCCATGAAAACTGTAGCTTTGCAGTCTCCTGTGTGCAGTAACAAGACCCAAAACAACATTCAGCTAGAATGGAAAGCACCTTTTTTCTTCACAGAAACCCAGTCAGTACAAAGGATAGTTTTGGGCTGGGAAGAGGTAGGAGTGGCTTAAGAAATCTACACATTAAAACATTCTTTTTAAATACATAAATGTTTGTTGCATTTGGATTTGGTATTGTCAAAAGAAAAAAGAGTTCTTAAAAACTTGGAAAGTAAAGAAAGTAAGCAAGTTACTAAAAAAATTAAAATGTCCAACAACTGAAGTACAAAAGAACGACACTAACTTTGAGTATGCAAGACGAGCAAGAGACTATAGTATGCTTTCCTGACAACAGCTCTTCCGAATAGTGCAACATACTGTTTGAACAGAATGATTAAATGAAATCATTAAAATGATGGTTTGATTTGAGGAGTCAAATACAACAGAGGCTTTAGCAGTCCTATTTTTACATCTGAAACAAAGAGAATGCCAAGCTTACAGTCATCAGCCACACTTTGCAAATACCCAGGAAAATGAGTCTGCACAGCAGTCAGAACAGATAGGAGGAGGCATGACACCTTTTAAGTATGTTATTCCAGTTTTATTTCACAACAGACTCCCTTGTTTTCAAAACACTGCCTCATCATTCATTCAACATTTTATGCTACAACATACTTATTTCAGTCAGTAGCTACTCAGACCTTATACAATCAAGCAAGCAGAGCACTTGACATCCACACAAATACACCACCCATTGGCTCATATGGATTCCTTTTGGTTTGCTAAACTTCATAAAGCACTCTTCCTGACAAGAATAATGTTCATGCCCTAATTATGCATATTTTTGCAGTATTTAAATGAAAAGAAATGGTATCTCACTGATATTAAACACTGCATTTTTTGACTCACAAGTCTGAAGACTCAAAACTGAGTAAGAGAGTACTTTTAAGAATGGTTTCAGAAGATGACATGCTTCTCAACTATTAAAAAAAGGTAAATTATTATTTTGTTATGAGAAGCACAAGCAAGTCAAGCTTTTATTGGAACTAGATACTTTACAAAGTTATTAATGGTTATAACTTTTCTAGCTTTTTCACTAATATAAAAAGAAAACTTAAGAGGGGCACTGAGAATGGGTAGTGAGTTTCTGTTGGTTCTTCTCTTTGCCCTGGGCCCTGGTCTCTCTCTTTCCAGAGAAACTCTGAATAATTGGAAAGTTATCGAAACAGAAATACTATGCAAAAGAATTCATTACCTGTTCTCCAAAGAACTGTTTAAATGCTTTTTATAACAAGCTAAAATGGAATGATGAGATTTTTGTCTTATGTTTTCATTTTTTAGTCAAATTCAAGACAGACTTAAGAAATGTCTCTACAATTTCAGACTTCGTCTCAGTTTACATCTAAGTAACCTCCAATAAGACTTTACTCAAAATCAGAAGAAATCAGATGCAGTACTGCTGTTCCTTCTAAAATACCTGTAAGGCAACTAAGTAAGGCTTTACTTCTACATTATAAAGCAGAAAAAAAAAGCACTTTTAGTTTGCCTTTAAGATATTCCTGTATATAAAAAATAAAAATGCATCCTCACCTCAAAGTTGGAAAATCTTGCATTAGTATTTAACTAACATAAATTATGCAAATATTTTAATAAAACATTTATTTTTCAAAACCAGGTACAAACAGTAGTCATGTTTTTCCAGGACTCATCATTTAAAAAGGAAAGAAAAAGCCTCCAGTGCTATAGTAGCTGATAAATGCCCAGAGGTGATTAACTTATTATTCCATCTATTTACTTCTGGACTCTCTTTCTGGTTGCTGTACCTTTCTTGGATTTTGGTGAGGTCATATTCCGAGTTCTGGTACCTACCGCATCTGCAATTCAAACAAAAAAAGACAAGCCTTTCTATAAAAGTATCAGAAATATATCATAAGAAAATGCTTGTAGTCTTTAAGAGGATATACCAACTCATTTAGTTTTGACTGGGGGCATAGGGGACACATCACATGGACCCAGAAAAATCTGCCATAAAATCATTTGCCATGACACTAATTTCCCCTGAAAACATATTGTACAATTCCACTTGTCAAACACTACATTATGTACAGTTGATCCAATTTAACAGCCCACCTCCACTAAGAGATGAAAAATCTGATATTCTTCAAAACCTAAGCTCCTCCTTCCTTCCCATGCACCAACTATGATCCTATGATCCCTCCCAGTATGAAACCATTTTTGGTATTTGTTGGACCTTTTCCTAAACTGATCCAGATCCATAACATGGCGAAGAACCTTTTCTGGTCTAGTATTCTCATAGTGTTAGTGGGTTGCAGCATCTTAGAGCATTCTGAATGGAGCTGATACATGAGGAAGTGCAAGGAACACAGGCAGAAGATGTCAGACTGTTAAATCAGCTCAGCTATCAGTGCAACTTTATCTACAGATTTGAAGCTATTATTTGACTAGTTTGTTAACAAAGATAGTGAACAGTGCATCTAAATAAGATTCCTAACAAACCTGGAAGACAGGTTATTCAAAGAGACTATACTTAAATGTATTAATAAAAACCTCCCTGCACTTTGATGCTTCCCTGCCCATTAGCAGGGAAGAGAAAAAAAAACAAAACAAAGCAATCCACCATAGCTCATTTCTGTAACTCACATTCAACTGTAGTAACTTTAAGAAAAACATATCACATACAACAAAAATTTCTACCATTTTCATAAATGCAGTAACAAATTTTTTTCATTTCCTAGTCGTGGTATTTTTTTTTTAATTATTGTTATTTAATCCTAACTTCCTCCTCAGTCGGTATGCCTAACTACTTAAGTTATTGATTGTAAAACTATATGTAACTGTACAGTTCCTGTCAACTTCATAATGTATATTACTGAGAAAGAAAAAGAGGTAAAACTGAGTTTCATGGAAATCTATAAGAAACAAGACAACAGTCTTTGAGCAGTTTGAGTCACTGATTATTCAAGCTCAATGAGTGAATTTTGGAGAAAACAGGAGGCAGAGAACAGTGCAAAATAACCAAATAGTCTGAAGTCTACTCAACAGCAAAACCACATCAAGAAAAACAACAAAGTATTGCAAACAGTTTTGCTTCCATGTTTGTTTAATTTTACATAAGTTAATTTGCTCAAAAAAAGTTGTTTTGAAATTAAAAAATATAAAAATTAACCTTGAAGAATTTTTCTATTCTTGAAAATGAAATGGAGAGGGAAAAAATACTCATTCCTTTTTTTCTCCCAAAGCACTTGCTGCTTTCAACATAAAACCATAAAAATGGATTTTGTTGGACACTATATCTTGAATAAATCACTTTAAAAAAAATGGACAGCTTTGGTGTTAGTCTCTCATTGAGCACAGTAGCTTTATCAATGGAAGATCTGTTCTTGCAAAACACACACACAGCAACACTTTCCATCACCACCACCACCCCCCCCAACTGCTTTTTAAAAATCAAATCCACTCTGGTACCCTTACAAGTACTGGAAGCTAAAAACTATACAAGCAGTTACCATAAAGTAGTAAATTATGTAAATCATTCCTTCTTTCAGGTAAATTCTGGTTTATGTTCAAGAATTAGTGTCTAATTTTCAAAGTCATGAAGTATTTCAGCTACTGTAATTGTGAAATCTAGCAAAAGACAAGTCATCTGAATTTTCAAATTGGACAGCCACAGTGGTACGTACGCAGGCCAAGTTATTCTATCAACCCCATGAACTGTACCAGTTTACCCCTCTCCATCCCTTCTGAGATTTTCCCCTGGAATTTTTGGATTGCAACTGAAAGCAGAAAATTAGCAGTTTTCTCTTAAAAAAAAAACAAAACTGATCTTTCTCCCTTTCATTAATCTTCACAGGTTTTGACTGAAATAACTAATTTTTTTCTTCTCCAGTCATATACTGTATAATCAAACGCTGCAATGACAGGTAAAATTCATGCGTTATTATCAGAAAGACTACCTATAGGAAAATGATCACCTTCAGCACGAAACTACTACAGGTATTTGGTTAGGAAAAAAAAAAAACAACAATAAAAAAACAGTCACCAGATTTGCATGTTTGTATTTCAGGAATCTAGTATTTCATGGTCATCATGGCCAATACAAGAAATTAAAGTTTATTAATTCCTAGTTCAGTGAGAGTTTACCCATTTCTCATAGCCTACGCTGGAAAGCCAAAAAGGAGAAGAAATCTACACTGTCTCTGATTTTTCCTTTATCTTTATTGCATCAATGAGTTCCTTTTTAAGGTTTTTCTAAACAAACCATCATCATGAAGAATCTGTAAGTGATTCATAACAAGGAAAAAAATCCTTGTCACGATTCTTTTATTCATCATTTCAAACTTAAGCAGCGGCAATATCCCCTTAAACTAAGTTAATTATGTGAAACTCAGAATAACTGCTCTCAACTCAAGTTTAGCTTCAAAGTTTGCAGCTATTTCAGAACTGAAGGTCTTTCTGCATTTTCAAAATTAGTTAGCCTGGTAACATATACCCCATGAACTTTTCTTGTGGGAGAAATGTCAATTCCGTTTCTGAAAACAGGAGAAGTCCTGTGTGGGCAACACCAAATGAGGACACAAACAAAGCTATTACAAGCAAAGGAGAGGATTTTTATAAAGCAGACTAAACTGAATTAGGTTGCAACAGCAATTTAAATGAGGAAGAATTATACAGACAAAAATAAACCAGATGGTGTCACTGCACAGCTTGTTTCGAGACTGGAACAAAGTTCAGCAAAGGCATAAAGAGTCCTACAGGCCCTAGAGAAATTATAAAACAAGTTGATTGTGATATCTGATCCCCTTCATGTAAACAGTATTATGAAGCAATTTTACAAACCCAGCAGCACTGTGTATAGTTTTGGGCTCTATCCTTCAAGAAAGTTTTGAGAAAAATGGGGTGGTAATCATGACCATTTAATTTTAGCTTAACTGAAGAAAGGTAAAAATGATGAGAGATGTGATGTGCAAAAATACATCTATCTGCAAAAAGTTGCTGCACAAAATGAAAGCAATATTCATGTCTGCAGTGGATAGGACAACTAATAAGCTTAAGGGAAATTCGTATTAGCTACTAAAAATACTCCTTTATCAAGTCCTTTTTAGTAGCAATGATAGTTAAATATTATAAGTGGTGTTGACCAGGGATGTTTTAGAAGCTTAATCATCAAGATTTTAAGAGAAAATACGGTATGTATCAAGACACTGATGTAAATAAGCCTGTCCATAGACTGGTGTATAGTTTCCCTTCTCACTTTGTTTTCCAATTCTACATACACCATTTGAGAAACATGCGTAAGTCTTGTAAGAGAATATCATACGCTAGAATATTTGAAAACAGAACCACATACAGATTTTAGACTGTAGACAAGCATCAGGTCAGTGAAAAACATCTAGCAGCACGCATGCTGGATGTTAGCAACTGCATCACTTGCATATATTATATTTCCACCTGGCAAAGACGTGAGTATATGCCAGTCTCTGTATAATGGCTGAAGAGTATTAGCAATTCTAGTCTATGAATTCTAGTCTATGCAAGCTCTTAAAACAGACCTCTAGTAATCATCATTAAAAAACACAGCTAGCATTTCACCCTCAAAAGCAGCACATGTAGTTGAGTAAGCTGATCAGACCTTGAAAGGTTTCCTTTTTTAACAACAACAACAAAAAAAAAATCTAATGTGTGTACACACACACTGCTGTATGTTTATCTCTTTAAGAAGCAAAGGTCCTTAAAACTGGAGTGTTAGACCACATGGTGGAGAGTTCTTAAGGGGTTTCTGAAAAAGATGTTCTCGGATTAGTCTCCACATAGATGGAACTTAATCATCATTCCTGTGTAGACACCTGTGCCACAGCAGGTTGTGACAGAACTGACATTTCTTTTGACACTGGGAACTTCATTCCACATATACTGAATTGCCAAAGTTAAGTCAAGAATTGATGAAGTAGGAATGAGAGGGCTACTGACCTAGCACAATTCTCCCTAGTAAACCAGATACAATCTTGCACATGCCACTATAGCAGACCTCAGTGCATTAAATTAATCCAAGAATAAGTTTTGTTACTAACTTAAGTAAGTAACTGTGGGCTTGTCATTTCCAAAGGAGACAAGTTTAGGTCTGTCAGTTCTTCAAAATTCTTTCACTGACCATAGTATGATTTTTGTCTTGCAAAATGTGCTTCAGTCATATTTTATCTGTCTTTGTATCACATAACCACATCATTTGCTGGATGGCTCCCCAGGAAACATCATTGCTTCAACTGCACCTTTAAAGGGTTCCACAATAATCAAACTGGTAAAGGGAAGCAAGAGAACAGAACCGATATAATTGCTATTTACATATGGTGAACAATGGAAAAAAAAAAAAGCATTGGAAGCCAAAAGACTACACTCTGTGTCCGGCAGCAAACATAAAATGGGAACTGAAGAGCTACTTTTCTTTTAAGATGATGGAATAAGGAAGAGTATGCAGTGCTCCTGACAAGCCCTTTCTCAACTCAGCCAGGGAACACTGTATGGCTGGTAAAATCTTGTAGTGCAACACCTCTCAAACAACAATTTTCCAGTACTTTAAAGGCCGCTAAAGCAACTACAAGGGCAACAAACAGTACTTTTTGTTAGTTGGCATGTTCTCTTTTCTGTACAAAGAGAAGTACGATTCAGAAAAGCAGAACAGAGAGACCCGAAGAATGCAAACTGGGGACAGACTTTTTAGCAGGGCCCGTTGCAATATGATGAGGGATAATGGTTTTATACTAAAAGAGGGGAGATTCAGGCTGGACATAAGTTAAAAATTCTTTACAATGAGAGTGGTAAAATACTGGAACAAGTTGCCCAGAGAGGTAGTGGGTGT